TGCTGCCAGCAGCTCTTGGGGCTGCGGTGCATGGCCGTGGCGGGCTGTGGGTTAGAGGGATTGTTTGTGAGGGGTCCTAGTTCCTGTTTGTGCTGCCCAGGTTGTGTCTGAGCTGTGCTCCTGCAGCAAGGTGGGCCCAGCATCCCCTGTGCTGCAGGTGACAGCCACATGCTCCTGTTCTGGCTGTGGCTGGGATCATGGTGGCCAGCAGAGGTGGGGGGGGACACCCTTATCCCTCTGCAGGACTAGGCAGGTGATGTGGGGGGTAGAGCTGCTCCTTGTGCCAGGGGTGGGTGCTGGGAAAGCAGCAGAGGTGTCCAGTGAGGTGGGGGCTCTGTCTGCTGAGGGCATGGAGACTCACGGTCTCTCCAGAGTGCCTCTCCCCTACATCTACATCCTGTTTGTCCCTTTTGGGGTCTGGTTGTGCCCTTGCGTCAGTAGGTGCTGCTCTGTTCCAGCCCTCAGGCATCACTTTGCAGACCTGCTCTTGGGGACAAGGCACTTGATGCCCTCTTGCACCAGCCCCAGGCCACCAGCTCTGTCTCACCACATTTAACCCCCTCACTGATGCCACCCTAAAGCCGTTTGATGGGAACAGAGGCTGCAAAGCCCAGTGCAAATCTGTGTACTGGGCCAGCAGAAATTCAGGGCTCCCTCAGACCACCCCCAACTCCCACCACTGTGCCCAGGGGTTGCAGGGTGGCTGCATGCTGCTGCCCTGCAAGGGCAAGGAGACACTCAGCCCAGCATAAGCTTAAAAAAATAGGCATTTTTATTTCAATGTAACTAGAGAATTACAACCCAGGAGAGGAGAGGATTACTCACATTTATCGATAGGCTTATTAGATTACTGCCTAAATAGCTGTGCTTTAGCAGCGCATTTGTCCACCTCAAGGAGAAGCAGTGAAGGAGGGTGGTGCATCCGAGACCTCATTGTCCTTGGTGGCATGAGGAGCTCTGAGCAATGCGGTCGGGTGGTGTATCACATCACCTAATCCTGCCGTGACTATTTACAGCTTCTTGGGAAGCAAAAGCTTGCGATGTTTGCTTGGCTGCATGGTCAGGGGCTGAGCTGCATCTCTCTCCTGCGTGGCCACCACTGGGGAGAGGGTGCCTAACCCCCTTGTGACAGGGTCACGCTCTCCTGAGCTCCCAGGCATGGTATATTGATGGGGATGGCAGGGGCTGGAAGAGGATGGTGGCATTGCCACCCCCAGGGGCCCTGGCACGAGTGCTGCACTCATCATGGCTATTCCTTGGTGTGGGGGTCTGTGGCGGTGGCACCGTGTTTGGTCTTATGCCCAGGGACGTGGCAGACCACCAGCCTCCGTGTCAGCATTAGGGAGCTGGGGTGCCCACATGAAGTGGGGGTTTCTCAGTCATGCTGGATTCATCAGCATTGCCCTTATGCTAACAAGGCCATTGCCTTGTTCACACAAGGAGCTCTTGCCAGGCACTGGTATGCCCCGGCCCAAAACCCACCAGAAGCTCATGGCTGAAGCAGTTGTGGGTGGTGCTGATCACCCTTATGGGTCGCAGTCAAGCCAGGAATTCAGGGTGTTCAGTTATCCTGCAGCAATGGAGGAGAAGATCTCTTGGAATGCCTCGGTGTTGACGAGGGCACTCGGCTCTGCTCCGCTATGACACAATGGGGGTGTCTGAAAAGACAGAGCTGATGGACTCCGAGTCTGACTTGAGCTGCAGGACCTTGGGGTTCTTGGGGTCAGGGAAGTCCTCGCCAAGGGCCAGGCGGATCTTGCCATTCTGTGTCTCCCTGATGGGCTCAAGGAATACCACATGCTTGTTGGCACTGACCTTGCGGTTGGGCCCGTCAGTGGCGGGGGGAGTGGTGCTGAGGATGGAGGACTGGGCGCTGCACTCCTGCGGAGGGCTGAGAGGAGCTGGCTTCTTGCAGCAGTTCAGGCAGTGGCAGGGCGTGAGGTACAAGTAGATGAGCACCAGCACCAGGCTCACGATGCACCCCAGCAGGGTTGTGAGGCCAGTGCTAAAGGTCTCCCCATCCAGCTTGGGGTAGTGGACTGTCACGTTGACCTCACACAGCCTGCTGAAGTTGTGGGGGCTGTTGATGGCCAAGCCTACGTAGACCCCTGAGTGCCAGGGCTTGGCCGCTGTGATCTTCAGGCTGCCATTGTGGTAGACTTCCAAGGAGCGGTTGCTGTTCCCTGGGTGTTTGATGGGCTCATGGTGTGGGGAGATCCACATGTAGGTGGTGGCTGCAGCCGGGAGGCTGGTGTTGCAGGTAAGCAGAAGGGTCTGGCCCACCATCACAGGGAAGGGCAAGGGGTGCACGTCTTCAGGGCCCGTCGAGCAGTTCTCAAACATGTGGTTATATTTGAGGAACTTGATGAGGGACCGGGGCACGTTGTCAGACACCCTGCAGGTATGTTCCTCGAAAAAATCCTTCACAGAGCTGAAACCTCGCTGCTTCCAGTGCTGGAGCATCAGGTAGAGCGGGCAGCTGCACCTGATGGGGTTGTTGTGCAGGTACAAACCATTCCTGATGTTTTCAGGCAGAGCTGCCAGCTGCTCCACAGGGATGCTGCTCAGGCTGTTGGAGGAGAGGTCCAATGTGCGGAGGCTGTAGTTTCCCAGCCCCTGCACCGAGTGGAAGGGGAAGGTGGTGAGGTTGTTCCAGCTCAGGTAGACTTTCCGCAGGCCGCTCAGCTTAGCAAAGGCATTTTCATCCACTCGAGTGATGTGGTTGTTGTAGAGCAGCAGCTCCTCCAAGCTCACCAGCATGTCAAAGTAGTGTGTCTCCACAGCATGCAGGTGGTTGGAGGACATGTCGAGGTGCCGCAGGTAGGAGGCATTGTGGAAAGCCTGCAGAGACAGGTCCTTGATCTGGTTGTGACTGATGTGGAGGGCCTCAAGGTGTGGGACGGCGGCCAGCCAGCGGTCGTGGAGCTGGGTGAGGGCATTGTGGCTGAGGTCCAGGGTGGTGGCGGTGGGTGGCAGCGCATGGGGGACATGCTGCAGCATCCGCCGGCTGCAGCTCAGCAGGTCAGAGGTGCAGATGCAGGTACTGGGGCAGCTGCGGGGCAGTGGGGAGGCGTGGGAAGCATGGCCATGGGCACGCAGCTGGAGCAGCAGCAGAAGCTTCATCACCCATGGCCAGAGCTGGTCTGCGGGTGCTCGTGGGGACATTGTGCCGGGCAGCAGTCTCTGTGCAGCCCGGCAGCACAGCCAGGCTTGATAGGTAAGACAAGAGGAAACGTGCCCCAGTCCTCCCCGATCTACCCCTGTGTTGCCCTGGCTGGGTGCTCTACCAAGCATCCATAGATGCCACTTTGCACCCTGTAGAGGAGGATCCTGTTTCCAGCTGTGGGGCTTGGTAAGAGTTAAAGGGTGGCATCTCCCTGCCCAGCGAAGCTGCCTCGTACCTGTGCTCCAGCTGACCGTGGGCTGTCCAGCACTGAGGTGCGGGGGGAGCCGGTGTCCAGCACCAGGGGGTTGAGATGCTCTGCTGCTTCAGCGCTGTTTCGGGATGAGCGAACGCCTCGCTGCGTCCTGGAGCCCTGTGTCTCTGGAGTGCCAAGTTTCTCGGGGCTCAGTGCCGCCGCGGCACATCCCCACGCTCCAGCCGCCGGTGAGCCCCGTCCAGCAGCCAGTTCCCTCCCGGCCAGTATCTCCCGGGAGCTGGGCTCGCAGCAGGAGCGCGGTCCCGCTCCTGCCCCTATTTACGCGCTGGCGTGTGGGCTGGGCGGGATCCCATTGGTCCCAGCACGGGGAGTGGTGGCTGCAGTGGTGGCCATGGTCCACCCTTGTTGTCCTGCGAGCGGGCAGGGTGATGTGCAGCCACCACCAGCCCCTGCGTGGTTGCTTGTCCCCAGGGGTGCTCAGAGCCGCTTTGCCGACCCTCCAGCCTCATTGGTGCACGGCTGCTGTCCCTCTGGCTGGAGAATGGCAACCTCGACCCGCTGTAATCTGTAAGGCAGCCGTGCCGGCTGCTTTGTGACTGCCCAGCCTCTGGGAGGATGCTGGAATAAACCCACCCCATTGTCACCGCTGGGAGACCCTCATGTCCAGTCCTGCACCCAGGCTGGTAGCAGAGATGAAGGTCATCAGACACACACTCTACACCCACTTGTGGTCCTTCCTGCTGCTCTCATCCTGCACGAGCTGGCAGGGACCCCCCCCAGCACTCCCAGCCATGGGGTGAGCCCTATAGCAGAGGGGGAGGCCATGGCAAGGAAGGGGTGGTCACAGGGTGAAGGACATGCAGGAATGTCATTATCCAGAGCCTGGGTGCGTTAGTGAGGAGCGGAAAACCGGCTGGGGAATTGGTTTCCATTAGGGCAGCAAAAAGCTAATTTGGCGGCTGCAGCTGCCTGCGCATCAAGGGGCTGTTAACTCCCTGTGCCCCGGCCCAGGCTCAGCCTGTGCCACTGGTTTCTCCCTTGCATTGCCTCCTGCCTCAGTATCTGTGCTTGCCCCAGGGCTGGCCATGGAGCCAGCTCTGCTCCTTCACCAGGGCAGTGAACAAGCTGCAGCACCTGATGGAAATACTCACTAAGGTGACCTTCATCTGTCCTGCTGTCCTCACTGATGCTTGAAGCCAAGGAGAGCCATGACTGCTCCTTCCTGCCCTGTGGGGGCACCCACTTGCCCTAGGGGCATCTTGGTGCAGAGGCTGGGGGAGCACAGCACCCAACATGAGGCTGCTGCGTGGCAGCTCTCACCCTGGTGCTTCAAAGTGAGGGCAGTGCTGGCTGCTTCAGCTGCCCTGCAGCTCCAGCCAGGCACCGGTGCATGAGGGCTGCAGCCTCAGCAAGTGCTGATGCACCATATCGATCCCCGGAGCCTCTGTGCAGAGATGATGGAGGAGGAGGAGGATGGCTGCTGCCCTTCAGCTGCATTTGAGCCTGTACTGATGATGCAGGGAATGGGGGGGGGTGTGGGGTGTGTGTGTGCAGCTGGGTGGTGGTTTGTGATCACAGGAGGGTTGTTCCTAGGGCAGAAGCCTGACTGTCCCTCCACAGGGTCGAGCGTGCAACGGCGGTGCTGCTGGCGGACCCCTGTTTCCAGCTGCGCTCCATCCAGTACCTGCTGGGCCACGCTGAGCCCTCAGCCCTGGCAGCCACCGCCCCGGCCACTGAGAAGCGTCATTTCTCCCTGCACACCTGTAAGTGCTGGCCCTGCGATGGGCAGAGCAGGGCTGCCCCTGTGATGTGTCCCAGTCCCCTTCCTTAGCACTGGGGACAGGGGTCCATGGCCCCCTTGCTGATCCCCAGCAGTGGCACTTGGGATGGGGTTGTGTCCAGTGCCTTCTTTCAGCAGTGTTGTCCCTTCGCAGTGCCCCGTGTCCATCTTGCTGCCCCCAGCATGGGGATCCCTGTCCCCAGCACCAGGCCCCCTGCCCTGGCTGGGCACCAAGAGCAGTCACAGCCACTCATGCATTGCCCAGCCACCTCGGGACACATACATATGTGTGTCATATTCACACCACACACACCCAGTTTGTCCCCACAGACACAGATTACATCAGTACTGAGGAGTTGGTGAAGGTGGACAAGATGCTGAATCACCTAAGCGAGGAGTCCAAGCAGGCAGCTGCCACCACACTGGTGAGTGCCCCAGCCCGCTCCCCATGCTCAGCAGCAGCCCTGGCTCCTGGCAGAGCTGCCCTGGGATACAGGGCTTTTGCTGCTACTATTAACTGCCTGGTGCCTCCCACAACAGCCCACCAGTGAGGAAGATCTCTGCCCCATCTGCTACGCACACCCCATCTCAGCCATCTTCAGACCCTGTTCCCACAAGTCTTGCAAGTGAGTAGCTTCCATGTGTGACCCTAACACCAGGGTGACTGCCAGCACCTGCCCCCTCCTCCTGCCCTTCATGCTGTGCTGGGGAGCTCACACTATGTCCTCCTCTGTCCCAGAGCCTGCATCAACCAGCACCTGATGAACAACAAGGACTGCTTCTTCTGCAAGGCCACCATCACAGGGGTGGATGACTTTATCAAGCCAGCCAGCTCGTAGAGCCCAGCCCCACACCACGGGTTCCCCGCCACACACCAGCTTCTCCCCAAATATTCATGCTGCCCAGACCAGGGGGGCTGCAGTGTGGGGCTTGGGGCTGCAGGGAGAGAGAGGCTGGTGGTGGGGGGTGCAGCATCCCACTGCTCAGCATCTGGACCATAGCAGCCCCCTTGCCCCATGGGCCGTTCTCAGGGAGGGGACCCCAAGGCCTCAGCTCTGTGGCAGCACTGGGAACACACCGCAGTCCCAGGCCAGGGCAGGGGGCCGGGCTGGGTGTTCGGGCTGTTACCTTGCCCCTGGCTGGGGCCTGATTTCATGAAATGCAGCATTAAATTATTCTTCCTTATGCAGTGTCTTGAGACATGGGGAGGGGAAGCCAGGCCGGTGCTGGGGAGCACGCCAGTGCTCAGGCCACACTCAGTAGATGGAAATATAAATATTTAATCCAAGCCAGGAGCACAGGGCCCAGTGGGGGCTGCTACATAATGATGCGCGGCTCTGGCACCGACTCAGAAATGGACTTGTGTGGCAGCACGTTGGCCCCGTTGAGGTAGAGCTCGTCGTTGACGATGACATCCTCACCCAGCACCGTCACGTTCTCCATGCGCACCTGCTCCAGAGAAGCCCTATCACGCCTGCCCTGGCTCAGGTCTTGGTGCCACGCTCCTGCTCCTGCCCACAGGCACCAGTGCATCCCTCCATCCCTCCTTGTGCAGCCTGAGGCAGCAGGAGCACAAGAGCTGAGCCCCAGTCTCCCACAGGTGCACCCACGTTCTCACCCATTGCCCCACAGAGCAGCTCCAGCCGACGATGCAGGACTCCAACCAGGAGTGGGAGCGAATGCGGGCCCCCTCCAGCACGGTGCAGCGCTTGATGCGCACCCCATCCTCCACCACCACGCCAGCCCCAATCGTCACATTGGGGCCGATGACGCAGTTAGCCCCAATCTTGGCGCTGGGGTCCTGGAAGGAAGAGCGGCTGTGCCGGGGCCGGGAGGGCAGAGCTCTCAGCCAGAGCTCCCAGCATGGCCCACACCACCCGGACAGTGTGTGGACAGCAGCCCACAGCTCGAGGACAGCAGCGAGGACAGTGGTGGGAAGACAGAAAGTCCATGATGTGTGCTAAAGGCCAGTGTGCCGGGGGCTGGCACTTACCACCAGCACATTCCCTACAACACCAGGCCCTGAGTGCAGCTTCTCAGGGTGCTGAGCCCGCAGCGCCTGCAGGTACATGCACATGCCCGTAAGGAAGTCCTTTGGCTGCCCGATGTCCATCCAGAAGCCTGTGGGAACAGGGCCATTGTAACAGCCACCAGCACAACGGTGACAGTGGGGGCAAGACCTCCCCATGCTGCCTACAGCACGTGCAGCACCTTACCCTGCAGCTCCATGGCGTAGAGCTGCCCTTCCTGCGCCATGGCAGGGAAGATCTCCTTCTCAATGGAGGTGGGGCGCAGCTGCAAGGACAGGGCACAGGGCTGAGCCAGGGGCCTGGACCCCCAGCCTGGCCCAGGCCAGCATCCCAGCCTGTACCTGGATGCGCTGTAGGATGCCGGGACTGAAGATATAGAGCCCAGCATTGATCTTGTTGGACACAAAGACACGTGGCTTCTCCACAAAGCGGCAGATGCGGCCGGTGCCGGGCTCACTCACCACCACACCGTACTTGGCTGGCTCCTCCACACGGGTCACCACAAGTGAGCCCTCACCGCCGTGATGCCGGTGGAACTCGGCCAACGCCACAAAGGGGAACTCGCAGATCACGTCGCTGTTGAGGACAAAGAAGGGCTCCCCGTCCTCGGCCAGCAGGTCCCGTGCCAGCGCCAGGGGCCCCGCTGCCCGGCCATCAGTGACGCCACGGGGACAGGTTGAGCCCAACGCCTGGCCTCACCTGTGCCCATCCCAGCTCGCCAGTGCCCCAAGAGCCTCACTCAGTCCCACTGTCCCTGGTCCTTATTGTCAGCCTCTTCTGACACCCCTTGTCCCTCTTATCCTGTCCATGCCCATCCTGGTGTACCCCTCACCCTTGTCCTGCCTACGCCCACCCTGGTGTACACCTTGCCATGTCCCAGGTCCTCACAGCCCTATCCGTCTGTACCGTCCCTGCTCTCGGCATCCCCTAGCCCTACCCATATCCAGACTGCTGTCCTCAGTGCCCCCTCCTCCGGTTGTCCCCCTGCCAACCTCCCACTGTCCACTTCCGTCTAGTCCCCCGCTGCCCACGCTGCTATCCCCTGTGCCAGCCCAAGCCCCAGCGCCTCTATCCCTGTCAGCTGCCCGCACCCTACCTGTGCCCAGCGGCTCCTTCTCGTGAGACAGGGAGATGCGGATGCCGAGCTGCGGGCACAGTGTGAGCGGGGGGTGCGAGCCGGGTGCCGCGGGTCGGGACGGGGGATGCCGGGGACCCTTACCCGCTGCTCCTGCTCCCGCATGGCGGCTCCCAGCGCCTCCGACATGTAGCTCACGGCCAGCACCACATGGGTGACCCCCGCCTGGCGCAGGGCCTCCAGCTGGTGCAGCAGCACCGCCTTGTTGCAGAACTCCACCAGCGGCTTCGGCCGGCTCAGGGTCAGCGGCCGCAGCCGCGTCCCGAAGCCCCCCACCAGAATCAGCGCCCGCATCGCACCGCGCCACGTCAGCACCGCGCGCCGCCGCGTCACCGCCACGCCCCCACGCTCCCCCCCCCCCCCGCCCCGGGTCCTATCGCCCGCCCGCCCCGCCCCGGCAACGACTGCCCGCCCCGGGTCCTAGCGCCCGCCACTGCTGACGGCCCGCCCCGCGTCCTAGAAGCGGAAGGGCTCAGCCGCACCCCCAGCCCAGCCGCCAGGAACAGGCAGGCACGGCACACCGCGGACAAAAACAGATCCTTTAATGGTTTTTGGTTCTCTGTGAAGCACAAACGGAGTGATTATTCATGTAAAAACAAACAGGGTTGAGGCTATGTACAAGCTGTGCAGTCCCACTGCCGTGGTCCAAAGGGGAGAGGGGCAGGCAGGGCCACAGGGAAGTGGGGGGGAGGCCGAGATGCCTCCCAGGAAAGGGGCCTGCACCTGCCCAAGCACAGCCCACAAGGGACAAGGGCATGCACAGGGTGGGCTGCGATGGGCAACACGGCTGTTGGGAGGTACCCAAGGCACCCACAACTACAGCCCTTAGCCCCCCTCGCTCTGTCCAGCCACCCCTGCTCCCCAACATTCCCAGGGGCCCTGCCTCGTGCGGCAGTGACTCGCAGAAGCAATGAAGTAACCCAGCACAGAGCAGTGTGGTGTGAATAAAGGTCTTCAGCCAGAGGGGAGTAGTGGCTTAGGAGACAGGCAGGGGTACGGTTCAGGACAAAGCTGGCACTTCCCTTGCCCCTTCCACACACAGTGCCATGGACCTGTGCCTGCTCTCGCTAGCCAAGCACTGACAATTCCCAAGCAGACTGTGCACACATCAAGTCAGGACACATGCGACATGCGAGCATTCCCTTAACAAGCTTTCCTGAAGTGCAAAAAACAAAACCAGACCAACCTCACCAGTACCCAGGCGGCCTCTCCAGCAGCCAGGGTAATGGGAACACCATGGAACAAGTCAGTGACACTGGGGAGGGAGCTTGGGGGTCCCAGCACAGAAACATGGGGTGGGAGGTGATGCAGAGCAGGGTATGGTTTGGTACCACGAGGCCACAGTATCAAACATTAATGCCCTCATCAAGGGAGGCAGTGGGTAACACATGGGCTCAGGGAGGGAACCAAGGCAGCAGAGCACACCCCAGCTGGCTGCTTCACCTACAGACTGGTGGTTTATTTCAGGAAAGACTGACCCCGTGAAGCAAAGCTAAGCAGTCAGGCCATAGCACTGGCTGCTCAGCCAGGTGCCCCCTCACCTGCCCCCCTTGAGCCCCTTACGGAGGAGGAAGGGGGTCAGCCCTAACCATCAGCCTTCCCTTCCATCACCCCCGTGCATGGACCAGCCAGAAGGGCCGGAGGGGAAGAGGGCAGCCTGGGCCTGGAGGGACACACACACGTAGGACCTGTGGGACCAACATTACAGGACAGGAAGGGTTGAAATGGTCCGAAATGCCCCGCTGCACAGCTAGGGTCACGTTAACTGCTACAGATACTATTGCTAGCCCATGAGCTGAGTTCTTGCTTGGTCAATAGGCCAGGGCAGAGTTACTCTTACCAAGCCCTGTGCCTGCCCCGGGCTTGAGCACAATTGCAGGTGTGCAAGCATTCCCTCCCGGCCACAGCTCTGCCAGGGGTTGCATTTGGTCATTTTATTTCCATGTTTGGGTTGGTTACTCACAGTGCCCAAACAGCAGAAAAAAGGCAGCATCAAAAGCAAAGCCCCCTCAGCAAAACCCAGGGCAGAGCTCACACCAAATGAATGGACCAGCACCTGTGCTGCTCACCATCAGCCCCACAGACACTGCCAACTTCCAAATAACTCAGGAGAATTACAAAGGGAAGGATCTCCCAGGGGCTCCTGAGGTAGGAGGCTCCTCATGCCACAGCTCCAGCCCCCCCGGAGAGCCCGGGCTCTCCTGCTTTTTCTTCCCTATGTCCAGGTCCTCCCTCCAGACTGCATACACAAGAAGTGAAGAACCAGGACACCCAACACCCAGCAGGCATCTACAGAGCCTCCTCCAGAAGGCAGAGCTAGTGTGGTTGGAAGCATCGGGTCAGCATAAGGAGCTCTTCCATCCTGCTTCCCCTCAGCTCTTCTATCCAAGTACATTTAAAAACAATGGAGCAATACAATTGTTTAAAACCAAAGTTGTCTGCTTTTTTTCCTGTGGTAGTAGGTGGTTGTGTCTGCTCCTGCCACCATGACAAGATTAAAACGCTGTAGCTCAGGTCTACTGGTTTTCCTCACGCATCTGTTCCATGATGTTGATGAGGCTTTCCAGCCCAAACATGTAACCCATGTCAGGTCCATCATGCACCGTGGGGTCATCGCGAAAGCCTTTGAACGTGCTATGTGCAAAGTCAATCATACGCACATCCACCTTGGGCTGGGCCGAGGAGCTGGGCTCTGTGCTGCCACCATCCTGCGGGCTCTCCGGGACAGAGCTGTCCACCCGCTTCAGGCGCATCTCTGGACGGCGCTCCACAAACATTCCTGCCCTGCTGTCCTTCCCATCATAAATGATGAGGAGGGAGCTGGAGTAGAAGCGGTAGGAGGCCTGTCTTTCCAAAACTGCCTTCAGGCTTCGCAGTTTGGTGAGGATAGGCTCAAAGAGGTCTTTGCGAAGCTCAATGCCGTTGTGGAGATACTGGTAGAGAGCATTACGGAAGCCCTCGATGGAAAGACCGCGTCCATAGTACTTATTCCTGCATAAGTAATGCCCTGTGTCCAGCTGATAGACCTGGAACACCAAAAGAAATGCTTATCAAGTGGGAGCAACAGGTTAAGGTCACACACAGAGAGCCCTGAGCTGTCCTGCACTGACAGGGCAGAGGGGACTCATTCTGTCCCCACCAAACCCAAGAGCAAGCAGGAAACAGCTCTGCCTGTTCCCTGAACTCCACAGCAGCTCAAGGGTGCATTCCACAGGCACAGCCACAATGCCCAAACACTGACAGTCTCTTCCAGGACACCATCAGGCATCTCATCAGTCTGAGTGTCCCCAAGAGGCATGGCACAACAGACCCCAAAGGCTTAGAAAGCAAAGTCTTACAGCAACTTGGAGCTGCCAATACATTACTGCCGCCATTGTGTGGCATATGATTAATGAGGGCACCTGACTGCTTGTGAGTCTGTGGGCAAGATCCTTCTGCAGGCACGGAAAAGAGCAACAACTGCACAACAGCACCAGCAGCAAATCCTTGCGTGCAGGGCCCAGCCACAAGAAGAGGGCAACTTTTCAACTTTCACTTCAGTACAGAAGCAAATGTCAGCAGCTGCTGGAATGGGGGGGGACACGTCCCTCCCCAGGCACCACAATTCTAGCTGAACAATACGCCACAAAAATAATTTTATTAAAAAACACTGTAACTGTGTGTGAACCAAACAGCTTTGGCTAAACCAGGCCATCTCAGGAGAAGTAGGTTCCTTTGTCCTAGGGCTTAGGAACAAAGACAAAAAGCATGTCGCATGAACACAGGTGTACTTACCTGAAGTGGGAGACTCAGTGCTCAGCAGAAAACACTAACTGGAAGGTCTAACAGGGCTGCAAAGAGAAACATGCAGCACCTGCAGCCTTGGGGATCCCTACCTGCATCCCACACACGCGCACGCCCAAGGTGGCAGAAGTGCTCTGTTCACACTTTTTCATCTGCCGAGCAGCCTTCTCCTCAGATGCATCATCTCCGTGCTGTCTGGTCCCCATCTTCAGATCAAGTACACAGGGAAGCCTAAAGTGATGCACCACGTTCTCCAACAAAAGGAACTCTGGGAGACAGGTCAAGGAGAACTCACTTGCCAGAGACACCACTCCCTGGGACATCACAGACAGGGACAGGCAACAAACAGACAGCACAAACTGGGAGGTGAAGAAAAGGACAAAACCCAAACAGCAAGAAGATCACAAGAAGATCACATGCAGGGTACTGGAAACGCAGCAGGAGGAACCAATGAGCAGAACTCTAATGTCAGAAAAGACATGGTATGGGAATAAGAACTGCTGATATATTAAGCAAGAGCTTAAGGTCTACTGAAATTAGCAATTTAACCATATGGATAAACAATACAATCCCCACGGACTGAAAACTGAAGGCCCAAGCAATAGCACAGTACTGTTGCTCTTGGCCTGCCCCGAACAGCAACGCTGCCCAACACATGGGGTGGGGGGGGGGGGGAACTGAGGAGGCTACAAAGACAGGAAACAGAACAGTAATGGGAGCCTTTAATTACCAGCACACACAATCAGAGCACAGACTGAGAACAAGCCTGAGACAATCAGTGCATCAGCTTGTGCCAAAGGGAAGAAAAACAACCCTGAGGTTTGCCCTAAGTAGCCCTGGCAGGGCACAGTTCAACATGTTATGCTGAAATGACAACCAGAGCACAGCCAGATTAAACCTGCAAGGAAGTTTAACACGCAGAAAAATCTATCATCAGCTATGCTTCATTTTGAAAGAGGAACTTCGTAAGAATAAGGAACTGTGATTAAAAGGGACAGCTGAAGGGAATTGCTTCTCTGCAAGTGATGCAGGCTATTTAAAAATAAAAGCTGGAGGCTCAAAGTACACACTTGAGAATAGGAAAAGGAAGCCCACACAGTTAAAATGGTGAAGAATACAGCTATTAAAAGTAAGTTTGTTCCTATGTGAGGGAAACAGAATCAAGCTCCAGCAGGTGAAACAGAAACAAACAAAAAACCCACAAGATGACAAGTTCAAGACAAAAAGCACAAGACTCATTTGCAAAGGCACAGAACATAACAAATCCATCTTCAACCATGAGCAAACCAGCCAGACCGTCCAAAGAGGTTAAACACAAAGTACAAACGGAGCTACAGGGGAGACGGGTGGGATAGGGGTGTGAAGAGACCCCCTAAAAGAGAAATAAAATTAGTGTTTTGCTGCTTTATTTACTGGGTGAAAGCTATGGGGATTCCAAAGACAGAACCCTTCTTTCTGAGCTCATAGAATCCTCAAACTGAAATGCCAAGAGAAGAAACTGTATGGCAAACAGAAAATAAAGAGATGTGTAACTCATTTAACTCTCTGCCTTAATACCAGGAGACAGTGGGGCTACCACAGCACTAAGCTACACTGATCTGGGGAACTATAACATAGCCTGAATGGTGTTAGAGCCAGAGTTGCCAGCAGGGTCTTTGTGTGAAGATCTACTCTGTTCCACAAGCAATCCACAAAAGTGAGATGAGAAATCTGCTCCAAGTACTAGTTACTCAAGGCTGCAAAAATGAGGAACAGCTGTGCAGAACTTCACAAGGATCTTATGAGCCTGATGTGGCCATTAAATGGGCAGACAAAATCCACTCAAGTTTATATGCAAGATGATAAACATATGGAGAAAAATATTCATGTATAAAGCAATGGGTTTGAGACAATTATTACCAGTCAGGAATGGGATCCTGGGGTAATGAAATCGTATTTGGAACAAGACAGTGTGTTAGGAATAATGAGGGGGAAAGAGACACAACCGCATTAAACAACAGTGGAAATCTCTGGCTCAAATGCCCCTTCTGTATTGTGTGCAGTTCCGGTCACTGTCTCCAGAAGGACACAGTTCAACTGGAAGAGACTCACAAAAGGTGACAAAGACATAGTTCCCTCCTAAGGGATTACTGAACAGCACAGACCTGATTCTGCTGCCAACATGAAAAAAATACAGTTCAAAACACAAACCAACAAAGAGAAGGATCAGAGAAGAAAGAAAATGCGGGATCTAATCAGAAACACAGCTTCTCTGAGCATCAGTGTCAGACATGTGCCACTGTATGGGAAGCAGAAAGAAATAGTAAAAAGAAACTCGTAACACCTTTGCTTGTGTGAAGGATAGGAAACCCAAAGGAAATGCAGGCCTGGCTGCCCCAGGCACAAACATGTAAGGCCAAGGTAGCAACAGCAACCTGACACTTATTTCTGCTTCCCAAAGGATACTGTAGAGTTTTCGGTCCTTGGACTCCGACCGCATGCGGCTCAGCTGCTGCTTATGACAGCGTAGGCTCCAGGGATTATAGCTGATCTTTTCAGAGCTCAGACCACTGTTCCCATCCAACATCTGAAATGGAACATCTGAATGGATGTGCAGGTCCCCCCTGGGACTCTTTGTTTCCTGGATGCTGCTGGTAGAAAGACAGAACAAACTTTCCTGTTAAAATCCACACATTCTCCAGATACCTGCAAGTGTCACATCCTCCCCTTGCACACAATTATTTCCTATTCCTTCTCCAGCCACATGCTTCACACAATTCAAATCTTATTAACAGCAAATCTTCACTAATACCCTGAGCTGTGGATTCACGCTCAAGGATCTGGTCTAACATCTCTGCTAGGTTTTATTGTAATGATAGAGTAACAGGAACATTTGTTTCTCAGGGAACTCTGGCTGGTGTGAAGATAGAGACCCATATTCAAAGCATCCCTGGAAGAAACCTCTGTGTTAATAACCAGGTGGATTAAAGGGTGTTTGAACCTGCTCCACATACTTTGGTTCCACATCCAATAAACTGACAAGGGTTATCCTGTCAGAAGCATTTCACATGGATGAGTTCATCCTAAGCCCAGCAGAACTCTTGACACAGTTTGCAGTGCCCCCATGTGCCAAGTGAGCAAGTGCAAGACAGCCTGAGCACTCTATGCAAGTGAAGAACAACTGCAACAAAAGAAGCACCAGAGCTGAAAGGGGAAGAGAGATTTTCCACTCATCGTGTTGTCACTGGACCCTCCAAGTTTTACCTTTCAGTGCTGTCACTGGCCAGGCCAGGCCTCTCCTCCTTGTGCTCAGTGCCACTGCTTGATCTGTGAAGACTCCGACGCGAGTGCTTGCGTCGTGGCTGGTCCCTCTCTGGCATGTCATCCTGCTCCACAGCCTCATTCTCCACATAGGGATAGGCCACCAGGTTAATGTAACCGTCGCTGTCTCCTTCAAAACACACAGATACCACACCTGCCAAAGACAAGTGGCATGTCAGTTCTGTTTCTCTGGGCAAGGAATACACAACCACTAGCACCCAGATGTTCAACAGAAGAGAGGAAAATGCAGCTCACAGAGCAGCAAAGCAAATCCAGAGCAATGTAAAGGAGGTTTTAAGACTACAAGAACCCAAATGTTAAGCACAGCATAGAGGAGAAATCCCCAATATAGTGGTCTGAGCTGCTACCTGAGCAGTCAGTCAGTAGCAGCAGGGGAAGCTCTGCTACCACAGGAAATGAAGGACAAAAGCGCAGCTGGTAGACTGAGGGGTGTGATTATTTCCTTCCCTTCAGTCTTGCAGCAAATGTCACCAAACTGGAGAAAGTCAAGCACAGCCCACCAAAATATTGAGGAGAGCAAAGCATACAAAATACATATAGTTCATTGGAGCAAGTATCTATGTCTAGAAGCACACCTGCTGTTGACAAGGACATCACTGGCTGAGGAGCAATGTCCTTGTTTTATCTTTCTCCTCTAAAGAAGCTCTCTAGTATCTCAAGTATGAAGTACAGAGCTCTGAGGATGAGATGACGCTTGCATCTGTTACCACAAGTCAGCCAGTCTCACAGAAAAGGGACCTACAATGTGCCAGGGTTTCCTAGCAATAAAAACAGGAGGGTCTTGAAGTAAAACTACCTCAGCCAGGTGCAGGCAAGCAAGACCATTTGTGTCCTGTGCAGTTTTACCTTCTGAAGGCTCCTGGAAAGCACCACGGTCCAAGGGAAGGTATCAACCTTTAACAGCACAGACTCTGAATGTATCTACCTGGCCAGCCAGAGAGTAAGACAGCTGGCACGCTAGTAAGAGCTGACATCTTCATCTTCAGGACCATCTCCAGCCCTGAAAATGAGGCTACCAGCCCATCTCCTAACCTGCAATGACAAAAATCCTTCACTAGCTTGTGAAGCACTGAAAGCTGCCAGAAGTATCAGACACTACTGACTGATTCAAATAAATCATCACAAAGGCTTGCACTATTTGGATGATGCAGGCCATCATGTTACTGCCCTTCTTTTTCCCTTATCTGCACATGACAATGCTGAGAAGGTTCAGGTGGCTCAACACAACTTCCGAGCAGTTTGGAACTCCAGCATGTCACTACACATATGCCACTCTGAGTGCTCTGGCTGCCTGTATATGGACATCTCCATGAAAGAGCAATCTTATAGTAAGATGTCAGTGCTCAGACAGGAAGTATCCTCCCCAATCTTCCTCTCCTCCAGATCAGCAGGACAGACTTCTGGGACTACCAGATGAAGTCCCACGCTGGGGTGGACATGCATGTTCTATATCTTTAGGCTACCAGGAAGTATCTGACTTCAAGAAGGCAGATCTCCATCTGGACTATCAGCTTCACCAGTTTTAAATATAACTCCCAAGAAAATCCTGCCATCATATTGATTTGAGTCATTACATAGGCTTCAGCTGAGGTTTCCAATGGGCCACTAAAGCACCATATGGCCCCAGAGTGGTTTGAGGGTACAAGAGGACCCATCTGTTGGAGGCCTTCATTCATGACCTGCACACAGACACAGGTAAGCTGACACTGCTTTGAGACCCTCAGGCTGCAATCAATCAAACAGCAAGACCCCGAACAGGTGGTGGTCCCAGCAAAGCACCGTCTGCCCCAGCACCACATGATGACAAAGAAGGAGAGGCAATAGGAACACTAAGTCCCCCCACAAGGCTGCCTGCCAGCGTCACCATCTGAAAGACACAGATGAGCTCCCAGTCTCTTACAGTGATACAGACACTGGAAAATTCCATTCCCTCACAGTGACTGAGGACAAGGCTTCACCTCAGCACTCAGAAAGCAATGCTTCCTGCTTCAGCAGCTTTCTGATACATGTCCATAAAAGAGATGGGATGAGGAAGCACTAAATTATGGGACTGGAAGGTGCCAATGCTCGGTATATGATCTAACTTCATTTACTCAAGGTCAAGGCTGTAATTGACAAATACTTGGTAGTAAAATTACTTCAGTTACACACCCATAACCTTAAGCGTCAGACTACAACTGTTAGTTGTAGTCTGCATACGCTGCACACTGTCTAAAAAGTGAAGCATGCTGATTTCTGCATGCCTATAGAAAAATACTTTTTCCTGTCCATGTGCTCCTACAAAACTGCTAGCCTGAAAAGAGAATTAAAACCAACAAATAAGGCAGCACCAGAAGACAGCAAGACATAAGCAGCTGCAGGAAAATGAGGGCAGGTTCCTGACACATGTAACTGCGTTCTGGAAAGACAACAGGTCTCACCTTTGTACTCAGGTGTGAACTCCTTCATTTCTGGGGGCAGAGATTCATAGAAGCGCTGTTCTCTGGTAATGAGGGGCTTGCAGACAGTGTGGTCGTCATAGCGCATCATGCTGCTGTGGCCACCAACCTGGTGAATGAAAGGCTCCAGCAGGACCCCCCGGTCTCCAGATCGAGTGGCATTCTTGCCATACTTGCCCACTTCCATGGTTTGACAAACACACATTGCGTTGGGCACCAGTTGGACTCTTGGAGCATGGGGAGAGCCACATGGGCTGGGAGGGTGGCTCAGCAGCGGTCAGGCAGACACAGGGGAGAAATCCTGGTGATCTGCTCCCTTACAATGACCTGAAAAAGCAAAGGAGATTCCTGTGAACAGAGGACCACTTGTGTTCACTCTCTGTTGGCTCAGAAAAGGCTCTTGTATTTATTTATATCCATAACTATTCTTCTTCTGTTCTCTGTTTACATCACACTTGCTCCAGCATGCTCTTCACCACCACTTTAATCCCACAGGTAAGCATGCGCTCATTTGGAGGCAGTCTCATATACAGCTTCTCTAATAGTGTTGATAGGAGATGTGAGTATTCTGAGCCTTCCATCTGTAGAAAAATACCATTTCTTTCCTCTAGTTAATCTTATCAGTAAGGCAAGATGGTAATGGGGCACAAACGGAAAGGTACAGCACAACTAAAACCAAGCCTGTAACAGAGACTGTCACAAGCAAAACAAAGATTTCAAGACTCTGAATTCCACTCCTTGTGCCTCTGCATTTTTAACATCTGAAAAACTACATAATGATTCTCTCCTTTATTACTCTAAGCCCTTCAGGACAACACCTATTTCCAGATATTCACAGCACCTACATGCACAACAGGTCCCTGATCTCCAGAGGTAGGCAAGAGAGATCACTAAATCCAAATGAGATTAGAAGTGCTTTGGAGAAGACAGATGCTCTTTTCATGCTTGCAGACTGCCTCACGCAGCCATGGGATGATGGAAAAGTAAAGCCATTCAAATTCTCTCCTGCTGACTTTCCCTTTCCAGCTTAGATCGTAGCTGCTCCTGAGGCTGCTGGCGAAAACTCCATGGGATTTCCTCACAATGATGAGTTATCCAGTCTTTGGTACAAGAACCATATGGTGACTACAGTTTCTGTGAATTCATCAAATTTCCAGTTTCTTGGCACAGCCACACATAAGGGCAGTAATTCGAGGGATCCTGGAGGCCCGGACAAGGGTTCAGGCTGTTCCTCATGTGGCCACGGGATGTCATCACAGCTACACAGCACTGCCAAGCTGGGGGAAGCTCTGCATGAAGACAGGCTCTTCTCCCTCCCTTCAATTCAATCATGCAGGAGATACAGTTCAAGAGATTCAAAAGTAGCAGCGATACTTCCCAGGATGTTTAACCCATCTAATTACAAAACTCTCCGCAACAGGACAATGCTTCTCCCACCCTAACTGCATGTCCCTGCTCGCTCCCTCGCACTGGGTTTTGGAACAGCGTGAGTTGAATCATCTCACTGAGCTGATGGAAAACATTTCCTTTTGTGGTTACATGACCACACAACTAGACTTAGTGTAAAGGGAATAATGGGAATATTTAGCTGGCTTTTACAGTGAGGAGAGGGAGTGGGGGTGAGGAGGGAAACAAAAACATCAACACCACAGATGGTCCCTCTCTGTAGCAACTCGTATCAGTTTCTTCAAGGTATCCTTCAAAGCCTCTGTCTCCTAAAATCAACTCAAAGCCCAAGTTGTATCACAAAGACAAAAACATGCTGTGGATTTCTCTCCTCCCTCTTATCTGCTTTATCAACAACAAGAAATTTCAGCAGCAAAGGCTTGCTTACATCGTGTATGGTTTAGTTTGGTTTAATGGTAGTTAGTATCTAAGAACAAGCAAGGTGCCAGCATCTGCAACAGATCAGCACTTCAGATTTCAGATGAACGCTTTACAGATTTACATCTCCCCTGCCTATCACAGCTTTATCTTGGATTCAACTTCTTTTATTTTGCCAGTGACTAAAGCAGAGTTTTCAGTTACTGCGAACAATACATGGGACAACTTTAACTTCTCGTATTTCTGTAACAGAGTTTAAACTTTATGGGATAAGAGAAGATCCATCTGCGCAATACCAGGGGTTGCCATACTTAGGACATATTATGATGCTCAAGTCTGGTACTAGTCCCAGTTTTCACCAAAAGCCAATCAGAAAATCTCAGGGTCCCGACCAGTGACGGAAGGAAGTACTATTACCCATACTTCAAAGAAGGGGGTTTATCCAAGCAGATTCATTAGCTTCAGACAACTTCACTAAGATGGAGATCACAAGCACCCAGGCAGACACACCCTCCCCCCCCCCCAGTGTGTTCTCACAGCAGCACCTCACCTATGGGCTACAGGCAGATGTTGGCCATCAGAGCAAGAGATCTGAACCCTCTGCCTACTTCCAGTAGCCTTCTTTCCTAAAGGTAGGCAAAAACCAAGCACTCACCACCTGAATTATTCTGAGGACAGCAGCCCCTCACTCTGCAGAGTCCCTTAAGCCTTCTCCATTGCATAGCCTAGACGTACATGTGAGATGGCTTTTGGGACAGTGGCAGTGAAAGCAGGATGCAGCCTCTAAGAAGTGCCCCAGGCTCACTGCCAAGCTGCCCACAGCCCCCAAGAAAACCCAACATGACAAGTTTTGGATGTGCAGGCACAGCTGGGAGGGAGTGACAGCCACAAAACAACACATTCCATGGCTGTGACACAAAAGAAGGAGCCGGGCACCAGGTGGGGAGAGTCTAAACCCAGTTACGACTGCTCTACATAGTCATCCACATGTTCTAAAGAAAACAGTGATACAGCCGGTATTTTCCCCACATACAAGCAGGCATAAGAAAATACTTCTGCACAAGCAACGTTTCAGAGACAACTTTTCTAAAAGGGAAGCCATCTACAGGGCTTGAGAAACAGACACTTTATAGCTCAGATACAGCTTAGTGTTTTCCATGAGACCTACTCAAAGTAAAAGGTTATTACTAAACATGGACACTATCTACAAATACAGAATAATCCCAGGAGTCTCAAACAAATTTAAAGCAGAAATTGTTTGAAGGCCTAAATATTACTCATCCTTCCTCTGTTAAACAAAGGCATGGGTTCAACTATTTTAGCTGGCATATAAAATTCAGAGTTCTTCCAATCATACTGTAAAATGCAGTGAACAATTCACACAACAGCTTGAGGGAGACCAATTTATGGAAGCAGATCCTCCAACATCACTGCTATAGCTCAAACAGCAGTAAAACATTTAGTTTAGCATCCTCCCTTCCAACAGACTGATCTATAGTTAGCAAGACAGATCACCCATAAAGGCAGACTTGCAGGAGGAGGGGGGTGAAGTTTAGGAGCAGAGTTATCAGTGACTACAGAAGGACATACCACATCCTGTGCTGTGCTGTGCATCCCCCACTCTTGTACTGGAAGAGACATTATTAATATATATTTAAGTCTGGATGCTTGTCTGTTAGTGTATCTGCTCCAAATGTGAACTGCATACTTCACTGTTCAAACACTTATTAGCAGGATGGGCATAAAGAGCACAAAATACTTTCAAACAGAAGTCAGGAAGACACAAACTCTGCTCTTCCAAACTATCAAGTGGGAAAAACCCTGCCCCCAATACCAACATTACTCTTAAGGAGGGAATATGCCCCTCCACAGAAACAAACAGTGCTGTGCTCTTGAATACCCAGAGCACTCTTAAACATTACGGAACCTTAGCTGAAGACCTTCCCACGTCTTACCAGACCACCGCCAGAGCTAAAGAACAGAGATGTTCTCTTCGATGATGTAACTTCAGGTGACAGGGTAACTAGCCTCAGAGGTTACCACACACTTGAGAGGTGGGGACAGCGAGCTGCACTGCAACGGGTGTGAGAATTACTGCAGACCACACCACGACGCTGATGTCCCCACTCTATATAAGCAGTCTTGTACAGCGGCAATGCTTCACGACTTGCTAGTAAATCTATTTTCCAAAATAAATAGAACTAGCATTTAAAATCGTGACAGTTGCACAGCAAGAAAGCTGACTGCATTAAGCACTGTTGACTCATGCCTTTGTTGTAAGCAGCTTACTAGTCCATCTTTCCAGCACCACCTTGCTGTGGCTCCTAGGATATAGCCAGCCCTCAGGACCTGCTGTGCTGAAGACCAAGGCAGATGGCCACTGATGATTCTGGAGCTGGGCCACCGGCAAAGAATAAATACTGACTTCAATGTCACACTGACAGAAGTAGACTTTCCCTTAACAACCTCAAAGCAGCCAGGAGCAAAGAACAAGAATACAGGATACCAGTACATACCAGGCAAGAGGACTACAGCATTTGGCCAATGGGTAACTGGTGACTGCTTCTTGTGAGATAGATGTGTTAGCAAAGAGAAGCAGCAGCTACATCCATGCTGAAAAGCTTGGTGTTTTCTAGTTACACTGGACTGGGTAACAACTTCTACACAGGAAAATTCAGTCTAAGAAAATAAAGCTTCTCCCACTGTGCTGTGAGATCAGCTTCCCAACACAAAAGCTTATTCATAGGCCTGAGACATGTCTGTCTAGTCAGCAGAGAACGGAGATGACCCTTGGAGACCCTGGACCCTTGGGCAGAGAACAAACTCTCCAAGAACCTGCAGCAATATTCAGGACATAACTAGAAACATTTGGTCAGCATGGTATGCAGGAAGCTGCAAACCTTCCCAGTGTGCTTGAGCACACAGCTTTGAATCCTGAGCCTTCCCCTGCACCGTGTTTGAACTATTATCAAATACAGCCCTTTTTGGATACACTGCCCTCACCAAGAAAAGCGTAGCTCTTCAGATCAAGGCCAGATAGAATACAACCAGCACACATCCATCAAAAGTGAAAGAGAAGTCTTAGGAAAAAGCACTGAAGAATGCCAGCTGAGGAAGACAAAGCCAACAGTAAGGCTGGTGGAGGAACTGCAGTAAGCAAGACCACAGAGAGAACAGCAGCCATAGGTACACTCCGCTCTGTGCAGTGAGCTGAACAGCAGCAGCACGCTTCCTTCACCAACACACTTCCTGCCTCAGCGACAGGGCACAAACGCACTGACTGCTGAACTGTACACAAGGAAAGAGCCTAACCTACTTTCGAACAGAGCTTCACCGTACCTACAGAAAGGACCACGTAGAAAATAAAATTGTAATAGAAGTCCTTATGCATACCTTATCTCCTAGAGATCTGAAAGAAGACTGTGTGCTGGTTTTCGCTGCGATCTGAGCTAATTTTTCTTCTAGCAGCTTGGATGGGATCTGTTTTGCATTTGTGCTGGAAAC